TTACATGATGACAGACTAGTGCTTCAAGCAAACAAACAAAAAAAAGGAGCATGGTGTTGTCGAAGAGTACTGAATGATCCTGGGGCTGCCCAAAGAACGAACACACCTGTCTTGTAAAAGGCACTGTTGAAACGCTCCTGAGCATCAAGGATGGCCAGACAGCCCCTGCAGAAGGATGCCCCACTTGGGAAAGTAGCGGGTCAGGGAAAAGCAGGTGGACTGACACCGTGGCTGCAACAATGGGCTCAAGCATGGCAAGGCTTGTGCGGAGGGTCCAGGACGGGGCGGTATTTTTGTTCCGTTGGGCCCAGGGTCGCTCTGGGTTGAGCGGACTTGATAGCACTTAACAACAGTGAACACAGGTACTATTAGAAGCCCCCACAGGCACTCTCCTGCGTGTTTTTTATGTGGTCCTTAAGTGGGAAGTGTGAGTGGTTACTACAACACACCCTTGCCCCATGCTGGGGGAGCTTAGAGGAAGCAACAGGGACTGAAAGGGCTTCCGTGGGGCGCAGCATGGTTACCGCACAGAGTCGCCCTCTGAGAAGATGGAGGTGCAAGCCTACCCAGAGGTGCCTCAGAAGAAAGGCCTGGTGATCTACATCTGAAAAACGAGTCACGGAAAACCCGAGGGGCTGGGGACAGAGACGCCTCCTCCATGAAGGAGGCTGGGGGAAACGAGGTTTCCATTGCCAGGAAAAGGAGACAGGAGTCGTGCCTCACTCCACACAGAACCGGATGCAAACTGGGCTCAGGGTCTGAACGTGGAGGAGAAGGAACAGGTGCCGAGGCCACTGCAGAGGCTGTTCACGCACAGCCCCCCACTTCACGGGTTTGGGCTTCTTGATTTGGAAGCTTAGGGTCGTGGTTCCATAGGACATCCCATGGCCCAATAGCATGTTTGGTGTCTGTTCTATCTGCCAGTGCAATGCAGAGGGCCTGGGGTCTGGAAGGCTTGCGAGCACCACCCCAGGTATGGCAATCGGTCTGTATATGCCTGGAGCCATGAAGAAAAAGAGCCAGGAACAAGGATATGGAATATGTGACTTACTGTCACCATGAACAACTGCCTCTGTTGTCATGAGACCAGAAGAAGGGGATACTGCCTGGTGACTGGTACCAGACACTCTGATCAACGATTCCACAGAAGAATCCCGACCGAAAAGGGGGAAATACAGACTAGGATTTCATATTCTCAGGGACTCCAGACTTTCTGGAGCCAGGGAGGGAAGAAGAACCACTGAAACTATTACCCTGAGATACTTTTTAAGCCTTTAACCTGAAATAATCCCTGAAATCATCAAAACTGAACTAGTCAAAAAGGTCTTTCAAGAACTACCCATAGGGGACCCAAGCTGGAAAGCTTAGACAGAAACCTTAGGAGGCAGTGAGTCTGGGAGCCTTGGTGGCATAGTGGTTACACATGGGGCTGCTAACTGCAAGGTCAGCAGTTCAAAACCACCAGTCCCCTTGTGGGAGAATGACAAGACTTTCTACTCCTGTAAAGAGTTACAGCCTCAGAAACTCACAGGGAGAAGTTCTAGTCTGTCTTAGAGACTCTGTTATGAGTCAGAGTCGACTTGGTAACAGCGAGTCATTCGTTTTTTTAGGTCTGGTTCACAGGTTCAAATCCTAGTTCTGACATTACCTACCACTGAGAAAGCCACTAGGGAGGTTTTGCGAACCCTGCCAGGCCCAGCTTTGAAGGGTGCTTGTGAAAAGTCAAGAGCACAATGCAGACGCAGCTTCCCACATTGCTCAGTGCACCTTGGCGAGCCAGGAGTGAATGCAGTTATGTTCCCAGCTGGGCAGGGCGCGGAGGCTCCCGAGCAACAAGCCCTGTCTAATTGGCCGGAAAGGGAGTGCCAGGACCCTCGGATTCCGAAGTGCCTGGAACAAGGCCTCATTAAAACGCCCTTTCAAACCTAACTTTCAAGAGACACTAAAAAAAAAAACTGCTAAAGATGAAAATGCTGGTGGAAAACCAATTACTTACTTTGGTACATTTTGTGGATGACATTTTTTTTCCTTTATCTAAATGCACACTAAAATACACCGACTGGATTATTGCAATTTGGTAGCAGGGACAATGCCTACGTAGATACAGACTCCTGCGTAAACTCATCAGGGCAAGTGACGGCCTCAAAAGGGCCCAAATAGCAGTGCCCAGTCTCCTGATCTGTGTGACAGCAGTGTGACTTCAGGGATGTGTAGAGAGGACACGGGGGTGGGTAGGGGGGCTCCACTGTGTGAAATCTGATTGCTGCACACATCTGCAGGCCTGCAGCTTTCCCATCCCCCCGCCCCCCCATCCTCATAGCCACCGGGTGACCAAAGAAGGCTGGGGGCATGGCTGTTACTGTTAGCTGCTTCCAGGTTGTGTCGGTGGTGACCCTGAGCATGATGGAACGAAATGAAATAGGTCGCCAGGCATTTCTTCCTAGTGCAACCTCACCTGAAAGCTCTGCGGAAACCTGCTTGAGCGTCACAGGAACATACAAGCCACCCCTGCCCGATGGGTGGTGGTAGTGTATGAGGTGTGTCAGCTAAGGATTGAACCTGGGTCTCCTGCGTGGGAAGCGAGAATCCCACCAACCGCGTCACCACTGCCTCATAGGGCCCAGGGACTCTCAGAAGCCCCTTCCCTCACCTTCTCAGATCCCTCTGCCTGCATCTAAGGACTGTCTCCCGGGCCATCTTCTCTCCCTACACACATCCTTCCAGGGATGTCTTGTCTGCTCGCATGGGGGCAGTTACATCTATTTGATGACAAGCCTCTGTGAGAGCTGAGGTTATGTGTCACCTTGGCTGGTTTAGTCAGTCAAGTGTAGCGTTCCTCTGCGATGACATTCAGTATCATGGAATCACCTCCAGGATAAGATTTGCTAGGAGCAGCTCGTCAGTTGAAAGGGAGCTTCCATGGCCTGCTTTGGGTATATGGGGGCGCTCTGGCAAAGCGTGCTTGCTCTTTATGGGGTCTGGATCCTGCCTCTGGCTTATCATCTGATCTCGCTGGTTGTTTGGATTTGAGGCAGTGGCTGGCCAGATTTACTCGTCCTGGGAGCCGTTGGCAGTCTGTCAGTTTACCTGCTAACCTTCGATTCACTGGCCTCTGTGTACAGCCACCGGACCTGCTGATCTCGGGTTCATCTGCCTGTGCAGCTAAATGAGTCAGGAGCCTCCAGTCCAACATCAGAGCCAGGGGCTAGGAAGTTGTCAGTCTCTGCAACTGTGCAAACCATTTCCTTCGGATACACCTCTGTGCATATACATACGCACACACACACACATATACACATTGATACACTCTACTAGTTTTGCTTCCCTGGAGAACCCAACATAAGATAGTCTCTGTCCTAAACTCTCCATGTGTGGACTCAGCTGCCCTCCGGTTGGTTGCATTGGCAATTGCCAAGGCAGCTCGGACTCACTGCCCCAAATGCCTGCTTTGTCTTTGGGGCATGCTGCCATCCTGCCCCACACCTCCTGAGTCTCTACCATGGTAATCACCCCACCCTCCACCCGGATACTTAGGGTAAACATCAGGGCACCATGCACATCCAAGCCACCCTTCAGACCCCCTCCTGCACATCCCCCAAATGCCCACACCCTCGGGTGCTGATGTGGTAGAGGCAGCCAGCATCTCCCCTAGATTGGCCTCTATGGTCACTCCCCTACTGATGAAACAAAGGAGGCTCCCTGATGCCCTTAAAGTGAAGCGTCAATGCCTTCAGCCACTTTCAATGTCCCTCGGGATCGCCCCTGCTCCTTTCTCCAGAGGACCTCTAGACTCGCTTTCTTCCCAACTGTCCACCATCAGCTCCCCATGGCCAGGCTGTTTCCTCCACTGCAGGCAAGTCCTCTCTTTTACCCATGGGCCTTTCCACCTGCTCTATGTTCACACTCAGCTCCAGCTCAGGAC